TATTTCTGCGAATTGGGGATTGTCTGAGGTTCCTCCATCTGCAGCTGCATGGCGTGCACAGGGGCGTCTGTACCTGGCCCCACACCCACCTGCGACCAGAGGACGCCCTGGCACTGGAACATCCAGACGCGGGCCGTTCCCTTCACATCGGTTTCTCCAGAAGCACCTGCTGCTGTGATTCAAAACCTTAAAAAAAGCCGAAACCGGTTTGGCTCAGTGGATAGAGTGTTGGCCTGCGGACTGAAAGGTCCCAGGTTCGATTCCCATCAAGGGCATGTACCTGGGTTGCGGGCACATACCCAGTGGGAGATGTGCGGGAGGCAGCTGATTGATGTTTCTCTCCCATCGATGTTTCTAACTCTCTGTCTCTCTCCCTTCCTCTCTGTAAAAAATCAATAAAATATATTAAAAAAAAAAAAAAAAACCTTAAAAAAACAACCCAAAAAACCCAACCACCCCACCCCATTCTGCCTGGCCAGTGTGGGTCAGTGGTTGAGCATTGACCTATGAACCAAGAGGTCAAGGTTAGATTCCAGTCAGGGCACATGCCCAGGTTGTGGGCTCCATCCCCAGTAGGGGGCGTGCAGGAGGCAGTGGATCGATGATTCTCTTCATTGATGTTTCTATCTCTCTCCTCCCTCTCCCTTCCTCTCTGAAATCAATAAAAATATATTTTAAAAAAACCCATTCCATCCAGTATTGAATACAGTTTCAATCAAGGCTTTAGTGAAAGTAGGTAAAATGAGCACCATCGACAAGAACAACAATGCCAGGGACTGAGGGTGAAGGAAGGAGGGGCGACAAATGTCGCCAGAATGGCTTTTTAACTCTCCTGCCGATTCAAGGAACTGGCTATGCTTCTCCTGCCTGGTTAAGAGATATTCCCGAGGTGATCAAGGAGGAAACCTGTTTTTCTTTTCTCCAGTTAGGCGGAGGACACGCACTCTTACCCTGCTGCAAAGGACACGCTTCCTAGGAGCACACCGGGCAACATCCCCCGGCGGCCTCCAGGGGGCGCTGCTGGGCTCCTCCTGCGACTGAGGAGAGAGCCCTCCAAGGCGGTCTCAGTAGAGGCTCCTCTGCAGGGAGCTGATCAGATAACGACCCCCAGGGAGAGCCAGCTGACTCCCGAAGCTGCTCACGACCCCCAAGGCTCTACAGCTTTCCCAGCCCCACAAGCAGCTTCACTAACTTGTGAAGTTATCAATGACGCTAACAAGCCGTTCAATAACACATGCTCGCTTCTACCTTGACAAATAAACTTTCTTTTTAAAAAATTTATTTTTATTGATTTCAGAGAAGGGAGAGGGAGATTGAAACAGTAATGATGAGAGAGCATCATTGATTGGCTGCCTCCTGCATGCCGCACCCTGGGGATCGAGCCCACAGCCCGGGCCTGTGCCTTGACCAGGAATCTAACCGTGACCTCCTGGTTCATAGGTCAATGCTCAACCTCTGAACCACACGGGCCAAGCTGAAGTTTTTTTTTTTTTTAAATTTATTTTTTGCTGTTAGAGAGAAAAGGAGAGAGAGCAGCTTTTGTTCGTTGTTCCACTTGTTGGTGCTGTCGTTGGTGACTCCTTCTGGGCAGTGAGGCAGGTGTGGGAGGGGCTGCCTTGCTGAAGGTAAGACATCAATTTATTTTTGCTTCTGCTGTGTACCACACCATATTCTTTTGATCTCCCAATGTTTCCAAATGATGACAATACCCAAATCACAGCTGACGGTGATTAGATTTTCATTTACTGCTCACACTGTATCCAAGCCAACTGAGTGAGAATGTCCTCACAAATCTGTGTTTTGTAGTCTGGTTTCCGAAGCCCCAAAGGACCCAGCTCCCCTTGAATCCTAGACACTGAGTTAACGCTGTATGTTTCCGTTTCAATTAGCATTCTTACGGCGCCATTCAGTCTTGCAAATTGCTGTCAGCGGGGGACTGACCGCTGTGCTCCCCAGCATATCAGGCACAAGACGTGAGAGTTCCACTGTGGCTCCTGGGGTGGTGCTGCAGCTGCTGTCACCCGCAGCTCCCCCATCGGGGAGACTCCAGGGCGGCGGGGGGTGGGGGTGGGGGACGCCTCTGCTGGCCAAGCACACCAAGGCTGCGCCGGGCCCCCGTTGGAGGAAGTGGGTGGTGTATTAGCCCTGCATATAAATCACCAACAACTGGAAATTGACTCCAACATCACAACATGTACTACAGACCTTACCAAGTTTTGCCAGTTGTCCCTCTAATACTTTTTACACATAAGAAAAACCTTTAAAAATTGTTTTTTATTAATTTTTAGAGAGAGGAAGGGATAGGGCTAGAGAGCTAGAAACATGGGTGAGCTGCCTCCTGCACGCCCCCTGCTGGAGAGCAAGCCTGCAACTAGGGCATGTGCCCTGACTGGAACTGGACTGGCGACCTCTTGGTTCATGGGTCAAAGTTTAACCACTGAGCCACACCAGCCGGGCGAAAACCCTTTTTTCTTGGTCCAGGATCCAATCGCAGGTCGCAGGTGTGGTGCCTCTTTAGTCAGGAACGTAGCTGCTTCTGCTTTTCCCTGGCCTGGACTTAGAACGAAGGCCAATTGTTTCTAGCCTGTACCTGCCCCGGCGTGGGCTGCTGTTCCCTTCTATTCGCATTAACGTTTTTGGGAGGATCCCCGAAAGCGATGCTTCCTCCGCCCGCCTCACCGCATCTCATCAGGAGGCACAGAGCACCTGTCTCACAGCCGACACCCCTGGAAAAGTCACTGTGAGTAGGGAAACCGGAAACTGTGTGATTGTTAGTTCTGTGAGGTCACGATGGAATGTGGTTACACCTTAGAAAATGGCACTTGTCCGTGAATGATGTGGATATATTGCAGGGAAAGTGAACTTATTTGGCTTCACATCCATTTCTAGGGAGTTTGCAACTCCAGGCAGAAGGCATAACGGTGACATGGTCACTCTTGGCTGTTCTGAAACAGTGCCCATCTGTGTGCCACCTGGCTTGGCCCGGCTCCTTGCCTCCGCGGCTCCGCCTTGGGCCTCCGCCCTCCAGGTTGCCCAGCGCAGGCATGAAGCATGTGTGGTCAAAACTGTGACTTCCTGGACGAAGGGAGAGGGGTGGGGGTGGAATTGGGGGGAAGGCGCTGAAGACAGTGGCTGAAACCTGGCTTATAAATAATCTGAACATTTCATTTATTTTTAAAATATATTTTTATTGATTTCAGAGAGGAAGGGAGAGGGAGACAGAAACATCCATGATGAGAATCACTGATTGGCTGCCTCCTGCGCACCCCCGACTGGGGAGCAAGCCCGCCGGCCCACAAGCCAGGCATGCGCCCTGACCGAGAATTGAACCATGACCTCCTGGTTCACAGGTTGAGGCCCAACCACTGAGCCATACGGCCAGGCGAACATTTTATTTCTTTGTGATGTGCATGTCCTATCACAGACAATTGGTCTAATGAAATGAGACCAGGTGCGCTGGTTACATAGTAAAACTTTAGAGTAAAAGATCATTTTTCAGTTTATTTTGGCTAGGACGCATCCCTGGCTGGGGCTCCGGTTCACACTCCCGGCTCGTGTCAGCCCTCCCAGCCCCGTGGCAGCAGCTGGTTCAGGACGCTGCTCTGCCTCAGCGCCTGGAGCTGGGACGTGTCCTCACTGATGACGGTGACGCCCCTGCTCTGCCCCGGGGCCGACAGGTCGCCCTCGCTGTCGGACAGCGTGCACAGCAGGCCGTCGTTCTCGTAGGTGGGGAAGTAGTACCTGCAACACCACAGACAGGCCTCACAGACTGCACCTCACCCAGAGACCGTCCAGGCCGCGCGGCTCCATGGGTTTCCTCGCCACAATCTCAACAGCACAGGCTGTGAGGGAGACCCTTCTGAGGGACTCAGCCTGACCCTTCCTGCCGCACGTCTTGCTAGGGTCCTCGCTGGTTTTCTACATAAAGACAAGCTCACTGGCCAGAGGCCACCCCTCCACCTTGGGCCGCCGGCCAGGCAGCGCCTCCCGCTCCGAGGCTGAAGCTGACATCCCTCCTCCCTCCTCAAAGGCCCCGCTCTCCCCAACTGGGCAGCAGCCTTCAAATACAGCTCCTCCCTCACACTCCATCGCTAAGATCTGATGAGAACAATGGCTTTCCCTGTTTCTTCCCCAGCCTAACCATCACTGGTTCCTTCATTCTAGGAGATGATAATCTATAATAACAAAAGCGTTATATGCTAATTAGACCGGACAGCCGGATGACCTTCCAGACAAAGCCGGGGCTGCGAGGGCTGAGCCTTACACAAATTTTGTGCATTGGGCCTCTAGTCTATATATATACAAGCCTAAGCAACCGTCTGACCGTTAGCCATGACATGCAATGACCACCAGGGGGCAGATGCTCTGATCTGTAGCTATGATGTGCACTGACCACCAGGGGGTAGACGCTCAATGCAGGAACTGCCGAGCTGCAGTGACTTGGCAGCTGCAGTTCTCGGGTGATGCACCCGGAACCAGAGAGGAGGGAGCCCAATTCCGGGGTGTGTCACCCAAGAGCTGCCCTCTTGCAATCTGGGACCCCTTGGGGGATGTTGGAGAGCTGGTTTCAGCTGGATCCTTGCAGGCCAGGCCGAGAGATCCCACTGGTGCACGAATCCGGGCACCGGGCCTCTAGTAATAACAACAACAGAGCTCTATGGACATTTGCGGGTCATGCTGGGTCCTTGTCTGGACACACCTGTGGTCAGTTCTGGGGCACCTCAGAATGAGAATTACAGGAACAAGGCACCTGGTCAACACACACCTGGGATTTGTGGGAAAGCCAAAGCCTTTGTGTTAAGGAGGAAAACCTGTCCTAGAGCTTCCTGGCTAGAGTTCTGGGGGATCTGATGGAACATCCCCGGGAATAGAGGGACCTCCACACAGCCGGAACCCCACAGCCTCTCAGGCCACCCCATTGCGGTTACTCACTCGGGCTGGTCCCAGGTCCTCCTGTCGGGGAGCAGGGCCGCGTGCTTGGCCTCCGCCAGGTGGGCCCCCAGGTCGGCCCTGGATGGAAACCTGGTGCAGCAGCCATAGCATCGGCCTTGGTGAACCTGCCGTCGGATGAAGTTGACCAGCTTCACTTGCTCATAGAAATTCAGTCCTGAGGGAGGCAAGTGCAGAGTCACCCATGCACTCGTATATACTGTTAACACAGGCCCGTCTATAGCACACACACCTGTCTATAACACAGGCACATCTGTAACACACACGTGCCTACAACACACATACTTGTCTATAACACAGGCCCGTCTGTAACACACGTGTCTGTAACGCATGTGTCTATAACATACAAGTGTCTATAACACAGGCACGTCTATAACATACACGTGTCTATAACACAGGCACGTGTCTGTAACACACGTGTCTGTAACGCATGTGTCTATAACATACAAGTGTCTATAACACACGTCTATAACATACACATGTCTATAACACAGGCACGTGTCTGTAACACACGTGTCTGTAACGCATGTGTCTATAACATACAAGTGTCTATAACATACAAGTGTCTATAACACAGGCACGTCTATAACATACACGTGTCTATAACACAGGCACGTGTCTGTAACACACATACACGTGTCTACAGAAGCACCAAAGCACAGTCACACCCGGAGGCAGGAGGGAGGCTGCTGTGCGCGAGGCGAGCTTTTCATGGTCTGGACCCAACAGCAAGCCCTACTGTGTGTTTAATGCCTGAATCTTTCTGTCACGGTGACCCCGAGAACCAGGCCCGGGCGCTTCTATGAGGGCGAGTCCAGCTGCACCCCAGCAGCACGAGGTGTCTTGTGTGCGTCGCCCACGCCCTGTCCCGTTCGCCCAGCAGGCCGGCAGCTGGACTGGGACCGCTGCTCGGCCTCTGGCAGACAGTGACCATTACCCTGGGTCCCATTAGAAGCTGTCACATACGCGGGCAAGGAGAAGGGACCACCTGAGGCCAAACCCTGGCTGTGAACACGGAGTTCCGGCAGCGGGGGGACCATGTGCGGGGACGAGGTGGCCGTGCGCCTGCCGTCATGACCACGGAACCAGCGTGTTCACGGCCGGCCGGCAGCGGCGCAGCGCTGAGTCTGACTCACCGAGCTCTGCCTTCGTTCTGAGGAGGTCAAATCCGTGCGCCTCCTGGAAGAAGGGATGGGGAGAGCTGAGCAGGGAGGTCCTCGATCTTCCAGCCGGTTCACAGGAGCCTCACACCGAGGCCCTGTCTCAGCGCATTGTCCTCGGCGTCTGACGTCTTGACATCCGGCTACTCCCCGACTCCACACAAGCCCGCCAATCAGATGAACCCCTCACCCGCCCGTCCTGCAGTCTCCGCAGTTCACTACGTGGGACGCAGTGTGCGAGGGAGACGCGGCCTTGCGTCCCACGTCGGGATAGAGCTGTGGACACGGGCTCTTCTCCACGCAGAGGTGCTGTGACACGCTCTGCTCTTCCCTCCATGCTGTCCCTGACAAGCCGGCCAGCTTCTCCTTACACACTCTTCCCGTAAAGCACTTAAAACGCTTCACGGCGCAGACGCTTATTTTATTCTATTCCGTCCCTGTCATGTTCATCGGGGTAAACGGTTGAACTTACAAGCGCACAGAGTAAAGGCCACCTCACCCTGATCATCCAGGGGCCCACAGGCAGGACGATGGGGCTCCCTGACAGTCGTCACCGGAAGGGACTGAGCAGAGGGTGGGGGCTCGGGTCAAAGAGGCTGCAGGGAGGACCCCCACACAGGGCGGGACACAGCTGCTTCCAGTTCTAACATGTCGGACATTGTGAATTACATGTGCACGGACACCAGTGCACACAGGGACCAGTGCACATGGGGACCAGCGCACAAGGGGACCTGTACACATGGGATCTGTACACACGGGATCTGTGCACACGGGGACCAGCACACACAGGATCTGTACACATGGGGACCAGCGCACATGGGGATCTGTACACACGGAGACCAGTGCACACGGGGATCTGAGCACATGGGGACCAGTGCACACGGGACCAGTGCACACAGGACCTGTGCACACGGGACTAGTGCACATGGGGATCTGAGCACACGGGGACCAGTGCACACAGAAAACCTGTGCACATGGGACCTGTGTACACGGGGATCTGTGGATTTGTGCACATGGGGAACAGTGCACACAGAAAACCTGTGCACATGGGACCAGTGCACACAGGACCTGTGCTCATGGGACCTGTGCACACAGGGATGAGTGTACACACTGCTGGCGGCTGGTGCAGAGAAGCTGCCGTCTGCTGCATCTGTGTGCGCCCGTGCCCTTCCTGGACCCGCCCTGTCCTCACTGTGCTGAGTAGTCTTTGACCAGGGAGCAGTGAGGGGGGACAGGCAGTGGAGTTTCCCGTGGCACAGGTGGGCACAGGTGGGCAGGGGCATGTCCGAAATTGCACGGCCGCGCAGTCAGCCCTCAGCCCCGAGTCCAGCCACAGTGCTGTCCCGAGGCACGGCTGCCCTCTCTCAGGGGGTGTCAGGAGGGTCCTCCCCAACATGTCCTGGGTGGAAACAGGCTCAGAACCGCTCGCTTCGAGCTTCTTTATAAAGAAGAGAACACACACACTGGGGATCTCTGCTCTTCTCTCCAAATCCTTTCCCCGAGGAGCTGCAAGACCACACCTGGGCCTGTCCCCTCCCCACCCCACCCTCCATGCCCCCAGGCCGTGGGCATGAGGGCGTGGCCTGCCTTCCACTTCCCCACACTCCGGAGTGGAAGGTGCTCCAGGAACAAGGGTGTAACCTGGCGAGGCCTCGGTGTGGTCGCCTCCTCCGCGGAGCAGAACAGGATGAAATGAGCCGTCTCACCTCCATGTGGGCACACAGCTGCTCCGTCGTTTCCGCTTGCTTTTCACAGAACAGACACACGGCGGAGACGGGGCACTCCTCCCAGTCCGACCAGTCCCTGTGCCCAGCAGAGAAGGCAGACCCCTTCGTTAGGGCCCATGGTGTATCTCCCCCATCCCCTGGAAGCCGCCCGTCTCTCCGCTGTTTTGGGGAGACTGTCTACACATCAATGCGGCTGATGCAGCCTCCGGCACGCAGAGCAGCCCCAGGAAGCAGCATGAGAGCCGAGCACCTGCTCCTCCGAGCAGCGACTTCCTAGGGCCCTGCCTGCCTCCGGGAGGCCCGTGTCACGGCTTCACGGCGGAGGACACATGTGGGGGTGCGGGGGACACGTGTGGGGGTGCGCTCATAAACACACCGCTGGGTGCATGCGCCCTGCTGGGTAGGTTTCCGCATGACAAATGGTGTGCATTGAAAAAGCAAACTGTACCTCGTACTGGAAATAGTGATCGTTTGAAGTGGTGCAAGTTGGTAGATGGAGAACTCAAAAAGCATATCCCCCCAACCCCGTTTTTACCATTTCCTCCTCTCCTTGCATTCATTTTTTGAAATACTGCCAACCTCTTGTCACTCCTAAACCAGGACATCCAGCTCAGCCCCGAGGGAGGGAAACGGCCGAAGGGCACTGATGGGAGCGGGGGTGGGGGTGGGGGGCGTTGGGGGACACAGGACCCTTCCAGGCTGAGGGCCCGCAGCTTGGACTTCCCGCCGGCAGCGTGTGTGTCCTCGGGGTCACCACTGGGCTGAGCAGGCGACCGTGAGCCAGTCATCTCCCCAGCCCGGAGCTCAAAGCCCACGCCCCGCCCCCCCCTGGGGCCACGAGCCAGCCAGGCCCTGGGACAGCACCTCTGAGTGACACCTGGCCAGCGTGTGCAGCCTGCGTGCGGGTCAGCAGCCTCATGACCACGCCCCGCTTGGCGGGACACCAGCAGTGCAGCGGCTTTAGGGAGAGTCCTGCTGAGCCCAGTTCTTGCCGCACCACATGCAAGGCTGCCTGGCTGAGAAGGTGTCCCTCCTTCCTCCTGTCGTCCCAGGGGGCATGTGAGACCAACTAGAGAACCGTCCCAGCTCCCCAAACACCACCCGTCAGCAGCGACCCCGAGTCTTACTCTTCCTGCTGCTCCAGCAGCTCCCGGTCATCTTCCGACTGAACCTCTTCCCAGGATTTTCCCAGTTCCTTTGTAGGAGAAACAGGGATTAGAGGGGGGGGGAGGGGGGCAGGGGAGGGTAGGAAGAGAAGGCGGACAGACTCGGCAGCAAACCCACACGCAGCGTCCCACACACACTGCGGGGGTCCCACCGGCTCTCAGCACAGGAAGGATGTGTCCCCAAGGCTTTCAGCGTCCTTTCTTGTTGGAGCAGCAGCAGGCCCTCTCACGGTCTCTTCTCTTAGACGGAAGTAAATCCGTGTTTCTCAACCCTGGATGCACGTGAGACCCCCTGTGGTCGGTTTCCTAGGCAGGACGGCCCTTCCCCGACCCAGTAAATCCTCCGCCCTTCCCCGTCCCTGTGAACCCTCCGCCCTTCCCCGTCCCTGTGAACCCTCCGTCCTTCCCCGTCCCTGTAAACCCTCCGTCCTTCCCCGTCCCTGTAAACCCTCCGTCCTTCCCCGTCCCTGTAAACCCCCATCCTTCCCCGTCCCTGTAAACCCTCCGTCCTTCCCCGTCCCATAAACCCTCCGCCCTTCCCCGTCCCTGTGAACCCTCCATCCTTCCCTGTCCCATAAACCCTCCGTCCTTCCCCGTCCCTGTGAACCCTCCGCTCTTCCCCGTCCCTGTGAACCCTCCGTCCGTCCCTGTGAACCCTCCGTCCTTCCCCGTCCCTGTGAACCCTCCGCCCTTCCCGTCCCTGTGACCCTCCGTCCTTCCCCGTCCCTATGAACCCTCTGCCCTTCCCCGTCCCATAAACCCTCCCGAGGCATTGCGCACACGGAGGACGAAATCCCGATCCTCGCCAGGGCCTCCAGGCTCCACGCGGCCCACCACCTGCTCAGCTGCTCCAACCAGAAGGCCCTCTGCTGTCCCAGCTCCTCCTGCCCTGGCTGTCACCTCCTAAAACACCGCCGCTCACCTGTGCATTCACCTGCCGACACGGCTCAGTCTGGTCTAAACAACAGCCCTCTTCCAAGTCACTTTTTATTTCTCTAGAGCAGGTGGGGGATGCCCTAGCCCAGTGATGGCGAACCTTTTGAGCTCGGCATGTCAGCATTTTGAAAAACCCTAACCTAACTCTGGTGCCGTGTCACCTATAGGAATTTTTTGATCTTTGCAACCATAGTAAAACAAAGACATATTTTTGGTATTTATTTTATATATTTAAATGCCATTTAACAACGAAAAATCAACCAAAAAAATGAGTTCGCGTGTCACCTCTGACACGCGTGTCATAGGTTCGCCATCACTGCCCTAACCCTAACCCTTTGCCCCGAGCCGGCTGTAAAACGTCGGCAGCAAACCATGGCTCCTCTCAGTCCATCTTCACACACGCTAAGCCCGCTTCCAGGGGAACGCATTCCAACACGGGTTCCACAGAACAGACAGAAATTCCACCCCAGAGCAGACACTGCCACACAGTCGGGACACGCTCCTCTGTCCATAGAACCTTCTGAGGCTGCGCCGCATGCCAATCACTCACCCTGAAGGGAAACCATTTCCTGTGCTTGGGGAGTGCCAGACACAGCACCTTCCGTCCTGCCCCCCGGCAGTTCCTCCCTCCCTGCACACAAGCAGTGCTTTTCCTAAGGTTATGTTCACCCCCAAGCAGCAGATCGGGCAGGGACAGTGGTCACTGTGTCAATCATAACCCCCGTAAACTCCCCCATGCCCCTAATAACACGCCTCCCTCCCCCTGAACCCCTTTTCCTAACCCAGAGAAACGGGACCTCAGGGGTCTGGCCATGAGATTGTGGTTTCTGAGCAGGAGAGCTCTCAGGGTGGAAAATCCTTACCCTGTGACCCCGTGAGTCCATCCTAAAAGCCACACACGTAACAGTCCTCTTGCCCAGTGAAATGACTGAAATGACTTGGTTTCTCTAAAATTCCCATTACAAATAGGGCTTGGACTGTGCGGCTCAGTGGTTGAGCATCGACCTATGAACCAGGAGGTCAGGGTTTGATTCCCGGTCAGGGCACATGCCCAGGTTATGGGCTCCATCCCCAGTGTGGGGGCATGCAGGAGGCAGCCAGTCAATGACTCTCTCTCATCACTGATGTTTCTGTCTCTCTCCCTCTCCCTTCCTCTCTGAAGTCAATAAAAATATATTTAAAAAAATAAAATTGCCATTAAAAATAAGCTGGCACAAGAGAATAATAAAGATAATTGTGGGGTGGGTGGGGAAGGGGAGGTTTTTACCAGGGAAGGAGGGAAGAGTGAAGAGACTGTTTTGTTTTAAGGAATTAGCTAGCACCGCCCCAGCACGGCCAGAGGCCCACACAGACTCTGACTAGAGCACAGGGGCTCTGGCCTCAGGCAGCAGACACAGGAGAAACGGGGGAGCGCGTGCACACCCATGTGCTTCCTGGGCACTCACTTTTGCAGGCGAGACCAGTGGTTCTGTTGTGCTCTGCACACTCCCCTCCCCACGCCAGCGGCTGCTCGACATGCCAGGGACACCTGGCCTTGGCACTACTGCTGGCAGTCGCGGACGCCCCGGCTAGCGGCCGTCTGGGGGAGCAATCGCGTTGCAGGTGAGGAGGACTTACCAAGTAGTTGATGACGTAGAACTGGTCGTACTCCCGGTTGCGGGGGTTGATCCTGCGGTGCTGCTTCTTCCGCATGTGGTCCTTGAGCAGGTTCCTGTCCCTGAAGGTCCTCTCGCAGTACAGGCACTGCAGGCTGCAGGCACAGGCGGTCAGGGGCTCCGCAGGCCGGGCAGCCGCTTGCTCACTATCCGGTCACGCGTGTTCATTCTAGGCCACTCCGCACCTTCCACTGGGACGCGCCCCCTCGCCGACCCCCGTTTCCAGTGCCTGGCTAGGCAGGATGCGTGTTTATTTCTGCGCTTGCTAAGCTGGCTGTTTAGTTAAAACCGAAACAAAGGGGGCTAATGCCCCCTATTACTTAGGTGGTTTACTAATCAACCTGCCCCGGCTGCCCATGCACACGGAGGCCTGTTCTTCAGGAACAACCATGGTAACGCGTGGCTGCACTCCCCAAGGGAGCAGCGAGGCCCGGCTGGGCGCCCTGAACAGGCGGGAGGGTGCACAGCCTCCGTAGCGCACATGGAGCTGAAGAACATACCACATGTGCAGGATATTTACTGACACACTAGTAGGTTATAGTGAGAAGTAAAGAAATCACACATCACATTCGGAACCGTGGTTTGGGAAGTGCTCGGAGGAGGGCGCGCAGAGACGGAACCAACCCCAGGCGTCCCATTTCCTAGGCCGGACGCGAGCGTGCGCCTCCCAGCTCACTGTGCGCACCTGAGGTGGAATGCAGCGCTGGGGATAGGTGCCGTCTTCACTTAAAAACATCAAAGATGCCCTAATCGGTTTGGCTCAGGGGATAGAGCGTCGGCCTGCGGACGGAAAGGTCCCAGGTTCGATTCCGGTCAAGGGCATGTACCTGGGTTGCGGGCACATCCCCAGTAGGAGGTGTGCAGGAGGCAGCTGATCGATGTTTCTCTCTCATCGATGTTTCAACTCTCTATCCCTCTCCCTTCCTCTCTGTGAAAAATCAATAAAATGAATATAAAAAAAAAAAACCCATCAAAGACAACGTGATCTGCACAGAATGAGACTTGCACCTGACAGAGGTCCTCCACCATGAAAAATGAAGAGTCCATTTCTGTAGCTACTTCAGGTCATCTAAGTTTTAAACATTCAACGAGTCCAGGACTCAGGGCTGCAGGCCGTGCCGCATGAAGTACTTACTTGTCCAGCTTTCTCTGCAGCGCGCACAGGAACTCACCACAGTTCACGATGTTGTCCGGCAGCCCGATGTTGAAGGCATGCTCTCTGGCCATGTGGTTCAATAGCACAGACCTAGGAAGAAAGCCGAGCAGTCTGCATTATGTACAAACCACTCAGGAACAAGTCAGGTCAGCGCGAGCGCATGTGTAATGAGAAACAACCTAATAGAAGTGCACGCAAGTGTCACCAAAGCACACGCCAGGCCATGGAGACAGCTAGCAGGTACGTGAGCCACTGTCCGGTTTCCCTCTACAGGTGAACTGGGTTTCTGTCCTTAAAACTACTAAACAAACAGTGCCTTCCTTTTCCAGTTCGTCACGGGGACCGGAGAGACAGCTGCCTGAGATGAAAGTGACTGGCTGTGAGCTTGGGTCACAGAAACTTAGTGATTCTTTTTCCAAAGTAAAACACCCAATGTGCTCACAGTTAGAGTTAACGCGTTAACGGGGACAGTGTGTCTGCAGCCGTTTGCTCACAGTCCTCCTGTCGGCCAATTAGAAAAGGCATTTCCCTCCTCTGCTCACAGCAACGACAGTTCACCTCTGCTGTCGGGCATTTTTAAAAAAATCACTGCTGGTAACAGGAAAGGCTCCTGAGGGAACCCATGGGACTAACTGATATAAATTCTGACATCACCGATGTTCTGATGAGTTTTCACACGAAATAGTCACGTTTAAAGACATGCACAATGGCAAACCTGTTTCCGAGGAATTCCTCATCGCAAAACATGCAGATGCCATGGAAGTTGTTGTCATTTCGCTCCCGCTGCTGCTGCTCCAGAATTCCTTTCTGCAAAGTAGAAGCAGATGCCTGATGAGACTGGTAGGTGCACAGTGAGCAATGCAGCACGGCCAGCCCGGACGGGAGACACCGGGTGGAAGCACAGGGGGCAGCGTATAGGGATGCGGACAGCATTTTAAATTTCTCCATTCCACTTGCATTTAACTTCCAACTCTAGGCCTGGCCCTTGTGGCTCAGTGGTTGAGCATTGACCTATGAACCAGGAGGTCACGGTTTGATTCCTGGTCAGGGCATATGCCTGGGTTATGGGCTTGGTCCCCAGTGTGGGGCGCGCAAGAGGCAGCTGATCCATGATTCTCTCTCAGCATTGATGTTTCTATCTCTCTCCCTCTCCCTCTATGAAATCAATAAAACTATATTAAAAAATGAATCAATAAAAATATCCTACCTAGGGATCTCAATACCAGATATCAAGTTGTACTACAAAGCCACTGTTCTCAAAACTGCCTGGTACTGGCACAAGAATAGGCATATAGATCAATGGAATACAATAGAGAGCCCAGAAATCGGCCCGAACCAATATGCTCAATTAATATTTGACAAAGGAGGCAAGAACATACAATGGAGCCTAGATAGTCTCTTCAATAAATGGTGTTGGGAAAATTGGACAGACATATGCAAGAAAATGAAACTAGACCACCAACTTACACCATACACAAAAATAAACTCAAAATGGATAAAGGACTTAAATGTACGACAGGAAACCATAAAAATTCTAGAAGAATCCAAAGGCAACAAAATCTCAGACATATGCCGAAGCAATTTCTTCACTGATACAGCTCCTAGGGCACTTGAAACTAAAGAGAAAATGAACAAATGGGACTACATCAAAATAAAAAGCTTCTGCACAGCAAAAGAAACCATCAACAAAACAACAAGAAAACCCACTGTGTGGGAAAACATATTTGCCAATGTCATATCTGATAAGGGCCTAATCTCCAAAATTTATAGGGAATTCATACAACTTAACAAAAGGAAGATAAACAATCCAATCAAAAAATGGGCAAAGGACCTAAATAGACACCTTTCAAAAGAGGACATTCAAAAAGCCAAGAGACATATGAAAAAATGCTCAAAGTCACTAATCATCCGAGAGATGCAAATCAAAACAACAATGAGGTACCATCTCACACCTGTCAGACTGGCTATCATCAACAAATCAACAAACGACAAGTGCTGGAGAGGATGTGGAGAAAAAGGAACACTTGTGCACTGCTGGTGGGAATGCAGACTGGTGCAGCCACTATGGAAGACAGTATGGAGTTTCCTCAAAAAACTGAAAATGGAACTCCCATTTGACCCTGTGATCCCACTTCTAGGAATATATCCCAAGAAACCAGAAACACCAATCAGAAAGGATATATGCACCCCCATGTTCATAGCAGCACAATTCACCATAGCTAAGATCTGGAAACAGCCTAAGTGCCCATCAGTAGATGAATGGATTAGAAAACTGTGGTACATCTACACGATGGAATACTATGCTGCTCTAAAAAGGAAGGAACTCTTACCATTTGCAACGTCATGGATGGAACTGGAGAGCATTATGCTAAGTGAAATAAGCCAGTCAATGAAGGAAAAATACCACATGATCTCACTCATTCATGGATAATAGAGACCATTATAAACTTTTGAACAATAATAGATACAGAGGCAGAGCTGCCTCAAACAGATTGTCAAACTGCAGCGGGAAGGCCGGGGAGGGTTGGGGGGCAGGAGGTAGGGGGGTAAGAGATCAACTAAAGGACTTGTATGCATGCATATAAGCATAACCAATGGACATAAGACACTGGGGGATAGGGGAGGCTAGGGGACTGTCTAGGGCGCGGTGATAAAATGGACACATATGTAATACCCTTTGTAATACTTTAAGCAATAAATTAAAAAAAATAAAATAAAATGACATTGTGAAGATGGTTATTCTTTTAAAAAAAAATATATCCTACCTAATAGACAAACATGGTAATTGACCATACCTTCGCTACGCCTCCCACTGGCTAATCAGCGAGATATGCAAATTAACTGCCAACAAAGATGGAGGTTAATTTGCATATGTAGGCGCCAAGCGGTGGAACAAAGACTGAAGGCGGCTCCCACCGGAGCAGTGAAGGCTTGAAGGCGGCTCCAGCCGGAGCGAAGGCCTGGGTCCCGGGTGCTGGAGGAAAACCGGTGTCGGCGGAAAACCGGTGCCGGCAGCCAGAGAAAGGGAAGGCCTATTGCACGAATCTTTTTGTGCAACAGGCCTCTAGTATTTAAAATAAATTTCAGCCCACACTGGCAAATGACTGCAGACACTCCATTGAAGGCTGTGCACAAAACTCAAGTCCACGGCGCCTCACTGTCCTTCCCGACCTCGTCCTGCTCCCTCTTCACTAGTCATCCTCACCATCTCTCAGAGACAAAACGTGGTGGGTCTTTGACTTGCTCCTTCCTGTGGTCCGGTTTACTCTGGAATCAGGTTCTGATCAATTGTTCACTTGCACTACGGTTCCTGTTGCCTCTCTCCACTGTTCCCAGCGCCGTCGCCGAGGCCTTTTCCAACCAGTGGCTGTGGGATTATCGCGAGTCATCTCCAGGGTCTCCCGACCTCACTCTCTTTCCCTCAGGCCATCCTCCCTCGGCTGCTGGAAAAACTTCCCTAAACACTGTTTACATGTATAATTACTCTGACTCAGATCATCTGAAATACGCTTTGGCACCACCTGAAGTCAGGTAATTGATGGACAGGGTTCAACTGCGCCCGGGTTATTAAATGTGGGATGTAATTGTTACCCAGGCAGCAGCCATCCTCTGCTCACTCCCACCCTCTCTGGCGCGGCCGCCTGCTTCTCTGCGGAAAGGATATGGAAAGTCTTTGAAGTTATAAAAAGTCTCTATACTGTTCTTGTATTACACTGGCATCTACTCTCCAGCGTGTCTCATTGCATGGGGCTCAAAATAGGAGCTTCGTGAAGTTTACTGCTGATTCCGTAAGTATTTATGGAACAGCTTAAATATGAGCGAGGGTCTAGTGGCTTATCCTGGTCCATGTGGCCTTTCTGGAAACGTTTCACCAGACATCTGCAACAGTAATCCACTGGAGAAAAACATTCAGGAGCGACCGCAATAGAGACCCATCCTGCTCTTCGGCTCCCAGCAGCATGGGAGAAAGGACATCTCAATCCCCTGCGAACTACACAGATGCTGCAGATATCTCATCTGTTTCCTGACATCGGGTAACAGACAGCACAGGGCTGGGCCCTTTAGAGAAATACATCATTCTCTGTTGGGTGGTGTTTTTCAACTTGCAACACAGAAAAATTAAACCCAATTGAACTACAGCTGCCTTGCTTGGTAGAGAAAAAAGAGACAGGAGTTTAAGATACTCAAGTGAGTCCAGCTGGCGTGGCTCAGTGGTTGAGCATCGACCTATGAACCAGGAGGTCGCAGTTCAATTCCCTGTCAGGGTGCATGCCTGGCTGTGGGCCCCATCCCCAGTGGGGAGTGTGCAGGAGGCAGCCGATGATGTTTCTCTCTCCCTCTCTCTCTCCCTTCCTCTCTGAAATCAATTAAAAAAATACACATTAAAAAAAAAAGATATTCAAGTGAGTGGAATCTGTGGGACAAGATACCAGGAAGGAGGGAGGTGCAGAGGAGCTCAAGGACACCACCGGATGCTTGGATGTTTGTGCAAATCCTGAGCTGGACGGGTGCAGGCCGGACTCGGGAGGCTGGCAGAGAAGTCGCAGCCGTGGAAGATGCTGGAGCTCCAATCTGCAGAACGGGACCTTGCGCCATCAGGGCGCACAGCGCACAGAAAAGCCCCGTTTTAGACCCGAGAGGCGAGGTCTTCATGGTAGCAAGCCATGCTGGTGCACGCAAGACTTTATTCACGGACTTGTTGGACTGCTCTCTAGCCGTGCTGGTCACACTCCGAAGAGAGAAATGCTTATAATGAAGAGTGCCTCAGATGTTACGCAGTTGAACTTCTCCAAGCAGCTGATGAAACCAGACCAATTGTCAAGGCAAAGCAGGCTGGGTAAAAGCCACCGTTGTAAGAACACAAGACCAGCCTGTGGATTAGGCGGAGGGTCGTCCTAACAGGCTGTGCGCTGTCTGGTGGGTTTAAAATGTCACGCTGGGCAGCAGAGGGTGGGGACAGCGCTCGTCCATCCTGCCTCCTGCGCTGCAGGCAGGGCAACGCGAATGAAGCTGCAGACAGCACAGGTGGCTCTCCGCACAGGCGCAGGGGTCGCACACGGGAGCAGGAACAAGCATGTGTGCCAGGGGGGAAATGGCAGAAACCAGCCAATCAGGAGAAAGCGATTAGAGCACGTCAGTGTCTGTACAGAGGAAAGCAGGAGCTGACGTCTGGAACGGCAGAGCCCACGAAACAGCCTGATCTGCCACAAGTGAAGCCAAGGCTGCCGCCTCCCATCACAGTGTCAACATCGCTCACTGGTCTGCCAGGCAGGTTCACACCCGCACGCGGGCCAGTTCCAGGGCAGGTGCACAGTCTACAAGGAAGAGCCTGGTCACCGGCTACAGGCCTGAGAGCTCCCACAGGGGCCGGGGCAGGGTCCTGGTGGCCGCTCAGCCGCGGGAGGTGGAGATTGAGTCACGGCTCCGACATACATTAAGGAGTGGGAGTGCCTTATTAGGGGCCCACAGCTGCGAACTGGCTAACCACTCCCGCCTCTTGCCCTCACTCTCCGCCACTGTAATGTCATTTAGGACACCGGGATTTTCTCTTGTTCACTTAGGTCCCTATGCACCCTCCCTCCCTTTCCACAGCTCTCCCGCTCCCCACGCCTCTCACTGGCGAGATGCGGTGTTGCTGGTAGCTGTGTGATCAACAACGCTTGCCGAGCGCGTTCCACGGACAGAGGCTGTCCTACGTGTGACACGTGCCCGGTCTCGTCTTCACAAGCGCTACAGGTCACTCTACCATCGTCTCCGGAGCACATGCAATAGTCCTTCTGCTTCAGGCCGCCGCTTTCACAACACGCCCGCCTTCACTTCTGGGTGCGATTACCTGGTTAGGCAGGAATTCAGTGACTCTGTGTGAGCTGCCTGCAGTTCTGTGCAAGTTGCTTCTGTAAGCTGCCATCAGGCTCACTTTCATCACCTCCCTCCGTCTGTGGGACTGAGGTTGGTGATAGGTGTGATGTGATTTGTAGTGAGAAGTGTTTGGTCTTGCCTCTATCCTGGCACACAGCTCCTGAGGTCCCTGGAATTTCCTGAGGGTCGAGGCTGCACTGATGTGCACGGGAGCGACTCTGGGGGCACCCAGGGACTGGGACATGGAGTCAATGCACTCCGAGGGTCAGAACTTTCAGGCCCCACCTCTCCCCACCTCCTTGCAGGGCGAGCAGCTGGAGGCTGAGCTCCGTCACCCACGGCCGATGGTTTGGTCCCGCAGGCCTGAGCCTCCGCACCGACCCATAGGACAGGGGCGGAGCTCCGGGGCTGATGGACCACAATGTGTCCACGTGCTGTCCTCCGGCCGGATCCACGGGCAGAGGCCCCTGCGTGGGCCTTCCCGTGCTGCTCCCACCAACTGAGCTCAATCGCTGTCTCCTATCTGTGTGACACACGCGTACCCAGCCAGCCAACAGGCTTCCGGGGCTCTGTGCGCTGCTCTAGCAGAGTCACCGAACCCAAGGAGCACCTCGCTCTACAGCCGGTGGGTCAGAGCAGGGGGCCCGGGCTTGTGGCTGGCATCTGAAGTAGGGGCTGAGCCCTTAACCTGAGGTCCCTATGGTCTTGGGAAGACAAGTGTCCAAAGTGAGTTGAATGTAGGACACCTCCTGATGTTGGGGAACCGCTGGATGTGGGGAAAACCCCTAGGCGGGAACTGGGTCAGAATTTAATTGTCATCTACAATTAATGATACAGCTATTTCTAGGGATGCGAGTCTATCTGTAGACATTCAGTAAAGACTCTGGGTGCTGAGTGACACAGGGCGGAAGCAGTGGCGTTGGTTGTAGGAGGGTCTGTACGGAGTGACACAGGGCGGAAGCAGTGGGGCTGGTTGTAGGAGGGTCTGTACGGAGTGACACAGGGCGGAAGCAGTGGGGTTGGTTGTAGGAGGGTCTGTACGGAGTGACACAGGGCGGAAGCAGTGGGGTTGGTTGTAGGAGGGTCTGTACGGAGTGACACAGGGCGGAAGCAGTGGGGTTGGTTGTAGGAGGGTCTGTACGGAGTGACACAGGGCGGAAGCAGTGGGGTTTGAGTTCTTACAGAGACCCTGTGGGTACCCGCATTATGACCGCTTGGCCATTCTCAATTAAGGACACCATGGGCAAGAGTGACAACACTAATGGAAATGAAAAATTATGAATAAGTATAAGCAAACAAAATCCAAGGAAGATGACAGCAAATTGATCCCTGTTTTGCAGATGTTAAGATGTGAGAATAGGAAAAGAGAACCTCAGTTCTGCTACTTCGTTGGGTTTGGTGCTACAGAAAAAGCGCATTTTTCTTGCATATAGATCAACATCCAACAATCCATCTTCCTTACGGGAGAAATCATCATTGGGGACATTCACAATATATAACGTGCCTCAGGGACTTTCTCAGATCATGTGATTATGGTCGGCGGGGTTTATTTTCCTCCGTACCCTCTTGAGGATTTAACAGAAACAGTGACCTCCCAGTTCCCTCATAACACATCTGGCCGAGTCCAAAGGTCCAAGGACCACTGATAAGTAGCCCCTGAAGGAAGGACGGATCCATTCCAAGTAATAATCGAGCGTAACCACAAACAGCAATGAAAAACCGCACTTTTACACAAAGTAACTTAAAATGACTTTCTGTTGGACTTATGAAAATGAACACTCAACACTCGAATACACTGTTGCCCTTTTTAAAGACGACAGCTGCTGAGGTATTGAAATTAGTTCTCCGAGGCTCAGGCTGGAAAGGAGAAAGGCCGCTGTGTGCATCAAGCACAGGCCTCTGGCCAGGATAAAGCCGGGTCGGGTGGAGCGCATTCCAGTGGGGGGAGCGTTCAATTCCACTCCATGTCAGCCGACGGCATTTTTCCACGACGGCTGAACCCCAGCATGTGTCAGGCGGTTAAAATTACACCTAAATGTGGAAGCTTTGCTGTTATTTTAGAGGTAATCCAGGAAGCAAAGCAGAGCCCCAAGTTGCCCCTGCGTTTTTAGCACGGAAGGCTTTAATCTTCAGTCACAGGCATGCTTTTACTGTTCTAAGGTCTGGATGTAGTGCCTCCTCTTTTGTGCATGTTTGAAAGTTTCCGGAATAAAAGTAAAACCAGCAACAATGAGAGAACAGCACAGTGACTAGTGTGTATTCCCAGCCACTGTGCATCCCTCGCACAAGCCTTACCAGTCTCTGCGCCTGCAGCTCCTCCCTCAGCACCCGGTCCTCCGGCAGCACGTCACACAGCAGGAAGTAGCTGTCCTGCTCTTCTGTGAGAGGAGAGAAATCAGTGAGACAATATTTACCATTTTCCCCAGGCCTTACTCCTTAAAATATGTGTCTATATCTTTATCCACATCTAATCTATTTCCATATCTATATCCTTATCCATATCTAATTTATATCTATATCCTTATACATATCCATATCTAATCTATATCCATATCTATATCCATTACCTATATCCATACCTATAACTATATCCATATCTATATCCATATCCATGTCCATACCCATGTCTATTATCTAATCTATATCTATATCTATATCCATAACCATATCTATTACCCATATCCATGTCTGGCTCTCGGGGAAGCGAGAGAATTCTGATTTGAGGAAGTGGGACTCCCCCTTTGAATTCTGGTCCTGGGAAAAGGCGGCAGCCCTGAAGCGCACTGACCCAGTGGAGCGGTGGAGTTGATTCGGATCACGCTGCAGAAGTCGGTGATGGGCTGCTCCCTGAACCTCCTCCTCCAGTACAGGATGTACCTGGGCAGGCAAAGCAAAAAGGTGGTGAGGAGACTCAATACAGCCCTTTCTGTAGAGTGACAGAATTTCATGTAACATTTAATTATCCCAAAGCCACAAAGCGCATGTTGACTGAACACTGCTAGACAATTTATAAATAGAAAGGCAGAACATCCTATCTAATAATAGAGAAACATGGTAATTAACCGTAACTTTGCTACCCTTCCCATCGGCTAATCAGCAGGATATGCAAATTAACTGCCAACCAAGATGGCGGCCGGCAGCCACGCACCTGAAGCGAACATGAGGCTTGCTTCCTCCAGTGATGGAGGAAGCCAAGGTTCCCCGCCTGCCGCAGCTCAGATCTGAGCTCCAGATGCAACAATGTTGCAATTATAGAAGCTAAACAAACCCAGAAACCTGCTTTCAGCTGTCTGTGGGCTCAGAGCTTAGAGCACCAGTGATGGCAACAGAGTTTCAATTATAGAAGCTAAACAAATCCAGATACCTGCTTTCAGCCAGCCACAGCCTCAGAGCTGGAACCGGCTCTCAGCTCCAGTGACAGCTATAGAAGGTAAATAAATTCCAGAATAAAAAAAAAAAGAAAAAAAAAAAAAAGAGGCTGGGAGCTTCAGGTGCCCGCCAGCCTGAAAACGGCCCTCAGCCCCTCACCCAGGCTGGCCAGGCACCCCAGTGGGGACCCCCATCTTTAAGGGGGTGTGACCAGCTGCAAACAGCCATCAGCCGGTCATCTAGGCTGGCCAGGCACCCAAGCGGGACCCCCACCCTGATCAGGATCACCCTTCAGGGCAAACCAGCCGGCCCCCACCCATGCACCAGGCCTCTATCCTATATAGTAACAGGGTAATATGCAAACTGACCCTAACAGCAGAAAGACTGGGAATGACTGGTCACTATGACACACACTGACCACTAGGGGGCAGACACTCAATGCAGGAGCTGACCTCTGGTGGTCAGTCGCTCTCACAGCGGGGAGCTCTGCTCAGCCATGAGACAGGCTGATGGCTGCCAGTACAGTGGTGGTGGTGGGAGCCTCTCCTGCCTCCTCAGCAGCGTTAAGGATGTCCGACTGCAACTTAGGTCTGCTCCCTGCTGGCAAGTGGGCATCCCCCGAGGCCTGCCGAGCTGCCAGAGGAATGTCTGATTGCCAGCTTAGGCCCAATCCCCCGGAGAGTGGGCCTAAGCCAGCAGGTGGTCATCCCCTGAGGGGTCCCAGACTGTGAGAGGGCACAGGCCAGGCTGAGGGACCTCCCCCTACCCTCCGAGTGCACAAATTTTTGTGCACCGGGCCTCTAGTTGTAGAAGTATAACATAAGTATTTAATAAAGTGAAATTACCCCGTAAAGGCATGGAAATGATTAAACTCAACTATCCTCATTCAATAAATAGCCATATGAGAAGTTAAAAATCAATTATTTTATGTGATAATGAAGTTTTTCTGAAATCACACTTAATTTATATGAATTAAAAATGTACATAATTTCTTATAAATGGAAAGTTGGGTGTCTATCTTAACACATCAAAATAACAGATGTCATGATAATAATGGGATGAGAAGTCAGCCAATGTCTCTATAACAAGAGAAAAAATCTCCAAAAAAGTTCCCTATGTGTCTGACGTGTGGTGAACTTGGCCTTTGGAAAGATGGTCAAGTTTTAAAAAATATTTTTAAATATATATTTATTGATTTTACAGAGGAAAGGACATGGAGAGAGGGATAGAAACATCAGTGACGACAGAGAATCATTGTCCGGCTGCCTCCTGCATGCCCCCCACTGGGGATCGAGCCTGCAACCTGGGCATGTACCCTGACCGGGAATCGAACCATGACTTCATGGTCAATAGGCTGGCTCTCAACCACTAACTGGCCGGGCAAGATGGTCAAGTTTTGAATTCTTCTATCTAATGGGCTGAGTTAGAGGCACACAGGTTGATATGCTAGTTAAAGCAGAACATAACACCAGACCTGCATGTCTGATGCAAGAGGGAGGGAGAGGACAGAGGCAGCCTGGTGTCCATCTCCCCATGTGTCTAACAGGCGTACACTGGCAGCTGCAGTCCCACTCAGGGACTGGGACCAGGAGAATGCGATCCCCTTCGGGGGAGGCAGGAGACAGAACGCGGGCTCCATAGTCGACAGTGTCATGTGATGGCCGTTCGTGCCAGTTCCACACCAACAGGACCCGCCGTGGGTGCGGTGACAGGAGCCTTTCCTCAGGGCAAAGGGATCCGCCGTGAGAGCTCCTCGGACAATGCCCTCTGTGCGTAAAGGGGGTCAAGCATCCCTGTTCCGAACACGGCCCTTTGGGGCCTTGGCACGTGTCTCCTGGGCGCCTGCCTGGGAGGGCTGACACAGCGAGAGCGCGCGTGTGGCCCACACATAAAATGAGGCCAGATTGATGGAGGCCCTCAGCCAACAGCCTGGGGAGGGGCAAAGGGAGTCCTCTGCTGGGGCAGCGGGTCCGCTTCCAGAACCTACAGGACTGCCACAGCGTGCACCACCCCCACCCCTGCAGCCTCCCCACTCCAGGGGACAGAGTGCTAAGGCCCCTTAAAGTCCAGGGGAAGCCTAAAGACTACAAATGCGCATGCTGTATAGGGATGATTTACACAGAAGTAGGCCTTCCTCCAGGAATAATCAACTTCGCTCGTTTATGAACGACACCAACGCTTACCTTTGGAAGTCAGCGACCAGCCTGACATCGGCTATGACGAGCTTGTGCTCGATAATCATGTGCTTCAGAAGGGGGTCCTGCTGAGCTGTGGGGAAGTGTTCTTCACAGAAGATACAGGGCACAGAGGGCGAGCCTTCGGGGGTGCTGCTGCACCCCGCGCCCTCGGGCAGGGACAGCGGCTCCAGGATGCAGTCCCGACCATCTGGGAGAGTGAGGAGAGAGGAGCTGACACCGGCCTCTGCAGGATTTCCCCCCTGCATGAGAGGACCCTGAGGTACTGGCATATCTCAGGAAGACACGCACAGGCCAGACGCGCAGCACCATTTTAAACGGCTCTGCCACCCGGAGGACGAGGCTGAAAAACTGCTCACATTCCCCATTTGCTGCTTGAATGGGGGAACCCGTTGGGCAGGGCAGCTTTTTCAGCTTGGACACTGGCCCATGGCAACACTTCTGGGGGCCCCCGGAGGGTCTAAGGCCAGGCGATGACCTGTGGTGGAGTCATCACTGGATGGGAGGTGAGCGCACATCCTGAGGCCTCAGGGACACCAGCTCATCTCCCCAGCTGCTTCCTGCACACCTGCAGCCTCTCCTGTTGCTATTTGTCACGTGCAGGGAGGAGCTCTCACATGGGGTGGACGCTGCAGGAGCTGGGTGGCCCAGGTGGCAATTTTCAATGTTGACTGACATCTACCACTAGCTAATTACGCAATTACGTATCGTAGTTTAAGTTCCTGTGAACAGAGGCGAGTGCTCACATGAAAACTGGGAGATTATTAAAAATATACAAGCACTTTAGAAGAAGTAGCAACAAGATTGGTGTGTTACCAGTTGTCTATTAAATTAGGCAATGAAATCAAGGCGTTCTGGACCCTACAGTTCTCAGTTGTAGGTTAAGTTTTATAAAACACAGGGTGGGAGAAGTAATCTTATCTAATAAAAGAGTAATATGCAAATTAACCATCACTCCAACACAAAGATGGTGGTGCCCAGTCTTCTCAGCTCCATTGGTGGCCGCTGAGAGCAGACCCCGCTTGGCTGTCACCAGCGGTGACCCGGGAGCAGCCAAGCAGGCCCCGCAGACAGCAGAGAACCACGGGGAGTGGGCCTAAGCCGTCAGTAGGACATCCTCTGAGGGCTCCTGGATTGGAGAGGGGGCAGGTCAGGCTGAGGGACCTCCCCTCCTGCTCCCCGTGCATGAATTTCGTACACCAGGCCTCTAGTATACTTATGAAACTCGATAATAATATTTTACATCCACTGGAACATGACAACAGGCAGCATACTCTACATAAAGGTAACATGAGCAAACATTAACTGCCACCTAGGATCATACTGGTTTAACAGCGCTTCGGGTCACTAAAATGGTGCTTCGGGTCATCACACTCTGATAATCTAATTAACTGATAACCATTCTAAAAAATGGGAGTATCAAGACTGGCAGGGTGTTTTGGTTTGTTTTTGCTGATTTATTTGGAAAATGTTGTAAACAAACTCTTAGTTTTCTTTCTTTCTTTTTTTTTTTAACACCCTAAGAGCCGAACTTAGCCCAGTCTGGAAGTCCCAATGGGCAGAGCCTAGCCCTGAAGAGGGGCGGGGCCTAGCCCTGGGGAGCCATGCCCACTCCAGAGGGGCGGGGCCTAGCCCTGAAGAGCGGAACCCTGTCCCTACGGGACCTAGTTTTCAATGTGGACATTTCTTTGCTTCTCCTTTATTTACATTGTGTAACTTATTTGAGTTAAATGCTTCCTTCAATGCATTACCGAGCCTGGACAGTATTTTTGAGCCTGTCCCTTACGCTTTCGATTGGGCAGACATTTATCCTTCCTAGGTGATCTCCTTTACTGTCTTGATTTTATCCTGATACTTAAACTCCAGGAAGGTAACTTTATCTCTACATTCGTGAGGGTTTTCTCTCTTACACTACAGAACGTCCTCTACTTCCTAAACGAGCCAGTTCTCTGACTGCTAAGAGTAGGTCCCCTCCCCATGCATCTGGAGAAGGGGAAAGGCTGGATCTAGGCTTTTTAACCACAACCAATCTCCAAAGCTCAGAGTAAGACTGTAAGGCCCTTCTTTAATTTCCCCTGGGCTGAGAATTCATTTTGTAAATTACCGAGGCCCAGTACTGAGAGTGATTTACTGTCCTCTCGCGGGGAGTGGGGAGTGGGGTGGACGCAAACACATGGGCGCCACACACTCCAGCACTCGCTGGGCCCAGCGAGGGGGCCGCGCAGGGTTGGCCCTCACTCCTCCGGGAAAGAACAGGGCTGTACACACACTCAGCCCTTACACCTACCACAGCTGTGCTTGGAAGCAAGGAGCTAATTAACACAAGCAAAAGAGCCACGAAACCTTTATTCCAACATTACTGAGGAAGCAGAGTGACGGAAACGGCATGAGGTCGTGCAAATGAGAGCCGGCCTGTGAGTTAGGGCAGGTCTGTGCATGGGGGTGCGCACTTGCTAAACAGCAGTTAGGAAGACACCGAGAACTACTGAAAACCATGTTTAATATTAGCTGAAAAGAGCCTAAGTCACAATGAACTGCACACAATACTTCACACACCAACATTCACGTACATACAAGCACATACCAGTACAAGACTTGAAAAAATATATACAAAAGAAAAACAATAAGATGATGAATAGACTTACTTATCCAAACTTTTCTTTAACACTGAATTTTTTAAGTAAAAAGCATGTTATCAGACGAGTTCCTCAATGTGATGGTGACAGGCTGAATTAAGAAGTAAAACAGTTTTATCTGGTCACCTTTTAAGTCTTGACATTTAAGATGCAAAATTTGATTAAACTTACCATTTTATAACTGAATGCTTACTATGCAGAAAATGTATGCTTGAAACTCTCTAAAAATACAAAGCTTAAAACTCCTATCCTGAAGTAGTTGCTCATCGTATATAAGAAAAATATAAGACAACAGTATGAATACTTATAATGCAAGTCAGCATACGCAAAGTTGGCTATGTAAATAAAGGGCTAAGAGATTGGGAGGAAAAAATGACTCAAGTCAGGAGAAATGAAGGAAAGTCTTCATAGGGGATGAATCTCAGTATAGGGTGGGGTTAACATTTTACCCCCCGTTAATGGAAATTTAATTCATCAGGATAGCAACAGGAAGGCCAGTGGAACCAGAGGATGGACACACAGAGGACTTTGGGAGGGAATGGGAAACAGGCAGACTGGTGAGTGCTCTTAGTTACTGAGCTCCCAGGGGGACGGTGGGAAGGGAGGGGTGTCCGGTGGAAAGTGCATACTGCACCCACAGCAGCAGGGCTTAACCTCATTTCACTGATTGACTTGAAGCCAATTACTTCGGAGTTAGCATTTGAGTCAATATTTGCATGAAATGGGTTGGCAGCTAGAAAATTGTAAATTACCTATCTGATATTCCCTATTACGTATAATTAATGTTTTGCATAGAATCATAAATTTCTAAGTTGTGGGACTGATATTTCTCTATTTCCAAAATTAAATAGCTATGTCATGTTTTTAGTTTAGTGTCTGATGTCTTAATCCATCAGAATGAGTAATTTTTAGTACAACAGTTTTGTTGATATTTTGTAAATAGTAAGGAGACTAAAAATAGAAATAACTGTGTGAAATGTAACCAGATTAATCTTTAGTGATACAATGTTTCTTTAATGTGAGTTTGCTAATACATACTTTAAATAAACTAAAGAATAATCCTATCTAATAATAGACAAACATGGTAATTAACCGTACCTCCGACATGCTTCTCATTGGCTAATCAGGGCAATATGCAAATTCACTGCCAACCAAGATGGCGGCCGGCAGCCAGGCAGCTGAAGCGAACAGGAGGCTTGCTTGCTCCAGTGATGGAGGAAGCCAAGGTTCCCCGCCTGCCGCTGCCAGCCTCTGAGCTGCAGTCTAAGAAACAATGTTGCCATTATAGAAGCTAAACAAACCCCAGAAACCTGCTTTCAGCCAGCCGGGCCTCAGAGCTGGAGCTGCAACAGTGTTTCAATTATAAAAGCCAAACAAAGCCCAGATACCTGCTTTCAGCAGCCGAGGTCTCAGAGCTGGGGCCGAGCCTCAGAGCTAAAGCCGGCTCTCAGCTCCAGTGCCAGCCATAGAAGGTAAATAAATCCCAGAATTAAAAAAAATGAAAAAAAGGAAAGGTTGGGCGCTTCAGTCACCCGCCAGCCTGAAAACGGCCCTCAGCCCCTCATCCAGGCTGGCCAGGCACCCCAGTGGGGACCCTCACCCTGAAGGGGGTGTGGCCAGCTGCAAACAGCCATCATCCCCTCATCCAGGCTGGCCAGGCATCCAAGCGGGACCCCCACCCTGATCCGGGACACACTTCAGGGCAAACCAGCCGGACCCCCCCGTGCACCAGGCCTCTATCCTATATAGTAACAGGGTAATATGCAAACTGACCCTAACAGCAGAAAGACTGGGAATGACTGGTCACTGTGACACACACTGACCACCAGGGGGAAGACACTCAATGCAGGAGCTGCCCTCTGGTGGTCAGGGCGCTCTCACATGGGAGGAGCTCTGCTCAGCCACAAGCCAGGCTGATGGCTGCCAGTACAGCGGTGGTGGTGGGAGCCTCTCCTGCCTCCTCAGCAGCGCTAAGGATGTCCGACTGCAGTTTAGGCCTGCTCCCCGCTGGCAAGTGGACATCCCCCGAGGGCTGCCGGGCTGCCAGAGGGATGTCTGACTGCCATCTTAGGCCCAATCCCTCAGGGAGCGGGCGTAAGCCAGCAGGTGGTCATCCCCTGAGGGGTCCCAGACTGCGAGAAGGCACAGGCCGGGCTGAGGGACCTCCCCCTACCCCCCGAGTGCACAAATTTTTGTGCACCGGGCCTCTAGTGTTAGTATAAATATAAGTTGTATTGGTTAGTATTATTTTTCCAGCAAAACAATGACCTGATGCAAGCAGGGCAGGCTTTTGTATTACATAAAGAAATGAGGAGCAAATTTATCAAAATTTCTGAATATCCCAGGTAAGTTCTTCCTTCCAATGACTGGAGGCTTCCAGAACTGCTGCCCTTCCCCTGAGGTAAGCACATGGAGACGCTGGGGAGGCATTGCTTCCTGAACGTAAAGAGCATGGCATTAAGAAAGACAGTCTCCTCAGCGAGTGGCGCTGGAAAAACTGAACACCTGCATTGAAAACCCCAAAACTAGACCCGGACCGAACATTCTTACAGAA